TTTTTTTTTTTTTTTTTTTTTTAACGAAATAACATTAAAGAACTTTCAGTTTAAAAAGTATGCAAGGACGCTATTTCCTGTTGCATTACATTTGTTTAGTATTTTTACAATATAAAACGATAAAATATTTTTACAACCTTAAAAGTTATTACTCCATTGCATTGAGCCATTTAAGCCTAAGTTTTTCCTGTAAAGTATCACCATCTAATCTTTTTGGATTGTTTATAAATTCTTCTGTTGCTTTATATCGCTTTTCATCGATCTTTGGGAAAATTAGTAATTTTCCCGAATCGTGGAGATAAGAGCTAATCGAATCAACATCTGCTGGCAAATTCTTTGGCAACTCTACAGGAGTAACTTTAATAAGGTGTTTAATTTTCCATAATCTGGCACACATTTCGGGTATATTTTTAACGACGGTCTGATGTCTAACTTTTTTCTAAAACAAAGAGAAAGCATTACGAAAGTTTATAATGCCGTATTACGCATTAGATTCGCATGTTAAATTCATCCAAACATTGAAAATTTTCATTACGAATTTCAATCGCTGTGAATTCTAAATTAAAAATTGCAAATATACGAATCGCAAATATTTTCTTAAAAAAAAAAAAAAAAAAAAAAAAAAAAAAATAGACATATATCTGCAATTGATAATGACACAATTGAACAATGCCAGCGCTACGTAGCTGGAAACTTTAAAAATAATAACTCAATGCCTTACCTCTGAAGCGAGGCCAATACTTAATAATATATTTTTTTCCCAATATGGGCAACCCTTGAGTGGCTTAATACGTTCGATCAATAATAGTTTTGATGGCTCGAAATATGGATCTACGTGATCGGGATGTCTGTTTATCAATAAAAGTCACAATCATTAACATAACACATTAAATAATACTTAGACTCTTGAAAGGCATTTTAATAAATTAGCCATTACCTTGGATAATAGGTAACTAAGCCATACTTAACGCCATCCTTCTTCCATGTTTTCGGAGTACTGCGATGCTTGAAGTATCTACGCTGATTGAAAAAAGCTCTGACTGCTTTTAACATTTTCTATCTAAAAGCATAATGGCTATTTATAATTTCCCAGTACATAGAATACGTTAATTTTACAATTTCTTTTGTACATTTTAAACATATTCGAATGCGAGTATGTTTCATCTACATATATATATATATATATATATATATATATATATATATCTTTTAGAAATACAAATTTAATTACCGTACAAAAGTTCAAACTGAAAAATTAAATCATACCGTATCGAATTAAAAAAAATACTAAATTTGAAAAATCCATCGATACTTTTAATAAAACATATATTGAAATATTAATAATA